TTGCATCGCTGCATGTCCTGAATGTTGGATGTTGCCGTTGCATAAATATTTAGCTGCTTCCTGTTGCTCTGCATGACTTCTGCATACTTATTTCGTTGATTTATTATCATACTGGTGTCAAAATGTATTATATTTGTATGTCTTAACCTGACACTGCATTGGTTTCAGAACATTTGGCCAAAGGACTGCAGCTGAACATTAGCTGGCAGGCTAACACTGGTACATTTACAGAAATGTTGATTAATTTGTGTTGTCCTTATAAATGTATAAAGAAATGAGGACATGATTGTGATTAAACAGCCTTCTTATCAAAACACCAAAAGGGGGATTATGTTTTGGAAGAATGGTTCCAGAGCCTTGTAAAATCTCTGCCAAGGAGCATTACAGTAGTAGCAGGTTCCCCCGGCACTTTACTAAGACACTTTACTGTATATTGGTTTTTCCCATAGTTTAACTAATCTGGCAAAGATTATTGTACCCAAATGAAGGCTTTTGCAGCACTACATTTATGGCTCAAAATGGTGATACTGAACTACGTACAAAATACAGAAAAGAGGGGCATAAAATGACAACTGCTGTGTTCTTTTTTTGTATGAGGGCAGCCGGACCGGACCGAACCGGGCCGGACCGGACTTCACTAGTGTAGAGTCCTGCGAGGCTGCTTTTGTCACTGTGTCAGGGCCTGCGAATGCGTCATGACTGAGTGATGGTGTCCTTCTGGGTGTGTGTGGACCCCTGGAGAATACCCTCGGCCCAGCTAACACAGCACGGGGAGGGAGGGGAGAGAGAGGGAACAGTAGATATTGTGTATATGTGTGTGTGTGAGAGAGTGGGTGGGTGTTTGCTTGGATGTGGTGCCTGAAGTGATGGGACAGATAAGCTGATATGCTCCCTAGACCGTTAAGAAGGCCTCTTAAAAGTATGACAGCTAAGTCAGCATGGAGACAGCCATCCCAGTGGTCTGGCCCTGGGCACTGACACACACGCAGACAGGCTGACAGAAACAGACCAACACACACAACACAGCATAGCAGCACACACAGCCAGAATGGTCACAGAGCTTCCACAAGAGATGCAGTACGCTAACAAGGCAATGTAAGTCCTCTTGAAATGTAATTTTACTGTTAGATGCTTTATTTGTGTGCCAAGGACTCTTGAGTACAGCTGTATGTGATGATGCTCATTCAATTCTAGCATCTCTCATATATATCTGTCATTAGGAAATGCAAAACATAGGGAGGATGTATGTGTTCCTCTTGTTTTTCATGTATCCTTGATTTCCTGCTTACGAATTACCTGTTAATACAGGCTAATTCAGATGCTGTGAGTAAATCAAGTGTCGGGCAAGGTTGACTGCATGTATATCTAGATAAAAATGCCGTAATCTTTTGTTTATTCACTCTTAGGAGAAGTAGGACAGAAACTGCCTCAAGTCATGGATGCTTGGCTTCAGAATTTGTGTGCCAGCATGTGTCCCCGTGTGACAGAGTGAAGCATGTTTGCAGCCGTGCTTGATATATATGTGGAAACAACCTGGGTAATATTTTCCTTGTGGTGAACTGTATCTCCACACGAAGTCATGTGTGTTGTTTTTGTTTGTTTTTCACCCTTCTGATCTGCACACTTTCTCTGATCCACAGGAGAAGAGTGGATTGATTGACAGCTGTGTGGGTTCAAAGAGACACTGTGTTTATTAGTTTGGCTTTTCGTGTCTGCCTCTGGTCAGTATCCTGCTGACTGAGAGTGAACATGCAGCATTTAATCACATCTCTGGGTTTAAAGGTCACAAATGACCTGTGTATCACTGTAAGAGCGGGACTGTTGTGTTTTTTTAAAGCAGAATATAAAACCTTTCGAGCAGTCAACTCAGTCTGGAGTCTCAAATAAAAGGGCTGATTTAAGTGCATTAAATGCATGCTTATGCAGAAATATTGATTGGATAACTGGCTTTTTTCAAATGCAGGATATATCACTTTCTCCCATTGAGGATGTGTGTGTGTGTGTGTGTGTGTGTGTGTGTGTGAGGAGGTGTTGGCCATGTGTTTGAATCTGTGTTTTGAATATGAGGCTGCAGCAATGATGTAAGTCACGGTGCCTTAATCCATAAGTGGAGAAAATGAGATGCTGGCAGGTTGAGAAGGAGGTGGTAGAGAGATTAGCTGTAGCTGTGAGGTTATGCTTCTCTGTGCTGATGACTCACCTCACAGCACATAGAGGAAGCACTGCGACAGTACTGAGGTGTGACTGTGTGTGTGTGTGTGTGTGTGTGTGTGTGTGCGTGTGTGTGCATGTGTTTCATTCCTCTTGTTCTTCTTGGTGCAGTGCATTCATGGGAAGAGGACCTTCTCTGTGAACTTCGCCTCTTTGTTTGGTGCAAAAGTAATAAATCACGGTGTTACAGCAGTAGTGTTTCTTACGGCTTTCGTCCAGGTTTGTCTCTTCTGGGAGCAGCCTCTGAGTCCTACAAACGAGCTTTGATTTTGCTGTAGAGAGTAAAGTGGACGAGAGAGTCTAAGGACACAAGAAAGAAGGGCAGCCCCGTCTGTCCTATTTATGTGCTGGGAAAAAAGTACTTTAGTGTGTTATTAGCGCACACGGGTGCCTGTGCGTCTCTGTGTGAACGTGCTTGTGTTAGAGTGTGTGAGTGTACAGCGTACAATAAAAGAAGTCAGCAGTTGGTTCTCATGTGAGAAGGGTAATGATGGGGCAGGCTGCTCTGAGCTATTACCATGAAGATGCAGAGGGGGGGATGCCAATGTGAAATCAAAGTGCTGCAGAGGAGTGTGCATGGGTATGCAGTGGGCTTCAGACTGCAGCACAACCACTGACCTACTGCTGTCTCAATGCTTCCCCACTGACACACTACTACTGGTTCCCATAAACAGTCCTTATAATGTGTGTGTCTATGAAAGAGAGAGAGCGAACAAGGCTTGGTGTACGTGTGTGTGTGTCTGTTGCAGCCTCTCCATCCACTAGTGAGTGCTGTGTCTTACATGCCTGATAATGATGACCTGTAGCGTTTGATTATTCAGGAGCGCTATCTGAATGGCGTCCTAGTCAATGGGAGGTGCTGGTAGGATTGTTGTAGCGCAGCTCTGCTCTGATGATTGCATTTGTGGTGCATTAGTTGAGTGTTGACTTGATTCAAGAGGCTAACAGGAAGCAGCAATGTCACAGCCAAGACTCAATGTAGACATTTTCTGTATATGAAAACTGATTTTCATTAACTCTCGCTGCTTTCATAGTGTAGTTCTCAACAGCACCAGATGTTTTCAGAGAAAAAGCTATAATAACCCACTGTACAATCCCGGCTCAGCACCAAACAGCAGACAGAACACAGAGACTATAGCTGGTGAACATAGAGCAGCAGCTAAAAATCCAGATATTTCTCTCAAGAGTAAGTGGAGACCAAAAAACAGAGGTAAAAGAGAGTGAGTATTGGACTTACATTAATCAGGTGACAATATTGCTCCGTAACAGCTGGATGTGAAACTAAGCAATTGTTTGCTAAAATGTTGACCATATAAAGTGTAATGTGATGGTATGTCAATGCTGTGAATAAAACTTGTTTCTGCTGCCCCCAGGTGGCCAAAATAATAGTTTAAAACCCTCTAGAAATTAAAAAACTGCTTACAAACTCAATTTTGTCAACTAACCTAACCAGAGCCCTGTGTATGTGTTTAATTGTTATGTACACTTAGGTTAGGAAACCGCTACTAATTCCCAGACAAAATGTGTCCTCAATTGTTGTTGCCCTGCTTATTGCATATGCTTTTTAAACTGTGCTGATTCCTTTATACATATTCTGTTTCGAACCCAGAGATCGGTAAAGACTCTGCACTTGTTTTAAGTGTATACATGTGTATTTAAAGTGAACTGTTATTGTTTATGTCAAAATTTAAAAAATGTTTTTAATTTCAGTACACAAAATTTAAAAAATGTTTTTAATTTCAGTACACAGATCATTTTATACACCTTCTTACACCTTCAGGTAGTGCATGCAAGTATTTTTGGACATATGAGCACTAGATGAATTAAGGTTCCTTTAATGCCCTGAAGGGTTTTCTGCTTCCAGTCACCCAGAAGTAATTAACTGGCAACCACAAAAAGAGCTGTTGTAAATTTCAGAAAAGGCCTGGTGTTCATTCTCTGTGTATTATATTATGCTTTGTTGAAAATGTAATTTATAAAATACCTATCTATACCTAATAGATATCTATTTTATAAATGGGGGCATTTATCATTGACTCTTCCAAATTAATTTAATCAGATTTTTCATTTAACAAAACCTCACACTGTAGTGTATTTAAAATGCAGTTCAATGTTTACCCTAGAAGAAGAAGTTTACACAGTCAGTACTGTAGGCACACACTGTGTGGGGGATACTTCCATCCATGGAGCATTACAGTGTTGTGGGTGCATACATTTTTAGCAACAATGGCCACAGAGGGATTCGCTCCCCTGACACTGGCAGTGTCAGCGCCATGCTCTGCCTGTTCAGCTGTATGTTGGAAATCTTTATAGGACACAACAGTTGCTCAAGTTCATTTTCAGGATGTGCTTCAGTCTGATTTTTCACACAAAAATCACACACCTGATAATTCCTTTATCATATAATGCATAACAACAATTTTTTCTATTAGTAGTGTTTTTGTAGTGCTCATGGAAGATAAATATAACATCCTTATCCTCCTTTGTCTGGCCTCCTCCGACCTCTTGTACTGTTTAACGTGTTTGTTTAAGTCTGCCTGGTCTAGTGAGAGTGAGTAGTGCACTCCTCTACTCAGGTGAGAAGGCATCTCTTTCCTCTAATACTTTAAAGTCTAGACTAATCGACTTACTGAAGCTTATAATGGCGCCAGTGTGTCAGTCTATTGACTGAAAAACAACCCACGCCAGTCTCTGTTTGCTGCTAATGACAGGTGGTGTGGGCACAGTTCACTGAGACAGAGCTGCTGTGTACTGCACCTACAAACAAACACTAAGTCTCAGACACTATATAATCTGCAGCAAAACTGAGAAACTACTATTTTATTCTTTCTGATATTTAGTCAGCACTACCAAAAAAACTTAAAAACCTCTAACAAGTCATATTTAGGCCTACAAAAATCAACAGTTTTTAACACAACCTAAGCTCTCTAATAAGACAAAAAGGTGGAAGGAACCTCAGGACACGTGTGGATAGTGCACAAGTGGGAAAAAGACAGTGACAATATAATCCCATGATGGAATTATAGTAAATCCAATATAAATGTAATAAATCTATTGAAAGAAGTTCAATAAAATACGTACAAAAGGTATCGCCAGTGGAAAAGTCCAATGAAATTAGTTCAATAAAATAAACCAATTAATATGTCCCATTGCAGCTGTTCACATCCAGATAGAGGAGGGAGGGGTAAACTGCATGAAGCTGGTGATTTTGGCATCATTTTCATCCTTGCTCACCCATCCAGGGGATTTCTAGAATGAAAAAAGGTGATTTCATACATTCATTCTGGACATTTACATTTGCTCTGATCATTCCTGTGACAATCTCATTCATTGTAATAGAAAGGCCACGTTTGAACATATATTTGACGATGCAACTTAAAAATAAAACTGAGTGTAACAAATTTCTATGTAACAATGAAATCTGGTTTATTTAAAACGCATCAGGGCACTGGATGTATTGCGTGCATAGAATTAAAACCTGCTTCGGCCACATCAATCCCTTGGAGGTTCATCATTGACCTCAGAAACATCAGTTTGATGAAAAAATCTTTTACTCCAAAGTAGGGAGGGGATCGATACCCGGTTCCAAAATTTCTCAAAACCCGAAAATCAATAAGGTCTGAGCTTATCGATACTCCTGTCAAAATAGCGGGTCCTATAATGTACCCTTATGTCTCGAGCGTCAAATCTGGTTTTACTTGAAACGCGATAGATAAGAAACCTAATGTTTTAAATGATGGCACCGAAACGAGCTATTAAACGGCCCGAGACTGTTTATCATCAGGCTGCTGCCGTTGCTGCTCTCTGTCGCCTCCTACACACACACCCAGCTGCCAGCACAGAGAGAGGCTGCACCGTCGCGGTGGAGACGGTGAAGTTAAGTTAGATCCAAACTATTCGAGTTACTGACAGCTACGCTCATTACTGTAAGTACGTGAAATAAAACCTTCGCGAGTAAAAAGACAATACTTTATCAATACATCTGTCTTTAAGGTAAACATGTAGAAAGGGTTAATTTAATAATCTCTGTCCTCAGTCTGTCATCCTGTATGTTTTATTCAAGCACAGCTAACGTTAACTTGGCATTTGTCAAATGTTACAAACAAGCTATATAAAAAGCTGTCTGTCTGTAGCATAGACTGGTCTGTAGCATGTCTGTAGTCTTAACATTTGGCACATTGTTAAAAACTCAGCTGCTGGCTGAGACAAACCAGCCGCTCTGCAAAACAGCAGAGAGGAGGAGGAGGAACTGATACATACTTTAGTACATACATAGTTTTTATTCTTTCTAAACTTCACTCAGGATTGTGATGTCACATATTTGCTTTATATAGTGACGTGACATTAATGTTGCTGCTATAGAACAAAAATTTAGCTCTATTTAAAATATTAAATTCTATTCCTATATATAATTTAAAAACAACCAGGCAGAAACTTCAATATTTCTGTAGTCATCGCAAATGATTTGTCACTTCAATATCAAACAATGTTATCACACATACCGTGCAGGCCTACCTCATGCCCATAGGGTCCGGTCTTACTAAATAGCCATCACCAAACTATAGTAAAGTATTGATAGTGGTATCGATAAAGATTGGATCATTAAGCAGTCTCAATAAGGGTATCAATATTAATAAAATTTAACGATCCCCATCCCTACTCTAAAGACACAAAATATCTGGGATTGATATTGATGAGTTTGCTCTATTTGCTGATGAAGGCCACAAGATATGTTTGAAAGTTCCTGAAAATATGCAGTAAGTGGATCTGGATAAAAAAAACATTTTTCAAACTATACAGTATATTTTTAAGTTTCTATTTTTTTTAAAATACATTTTAAGTTCCATTCAAGTGTCCCAGGAAGCCATGACGAGTGGGTAAGGTGAAAAAGTTGGTGTATCGCTAAAAGCAAAATGTGACAAAGTTAAAAGAGACTTAGCGAATAACTTACATGAAGAGCGTGACTTAAATTTCCACTGAAGCTCTTCCAGTGGAGTGACGAAAAATGGCAGCTGGAGAAAACATCAGATATGTGTGGAGACTTCAGCCTTCTTTGAATTAACACATGAAACAAACATAAATGCCATATTTCCATCATATTTCTCTTGATTTGGTTCGTTTGAGGTTTAACCAGCTCTTTTAATCTTCTTCTTCTGTGGTTTAATGTTCTAACTAGAGAAAAAGTGCCACCAACTGTTAATGTCAATGAACCGAAACCATGATTCATTTGATTATTTACACCTGTGCTTTCCCTACTGTGACATGTCAAAATGTCTTTTTGCAGAACAGGATGTGCCCACAAAATACCCCCCAAAAAGGAGTTGGGGGTTCTAGTTACGCCCCTGTTAGTCATTAGGCTGCTTCCAGGAAGGGCGGTGTAGCACAAGGATACTCAACTTAATAACCGTTAACAAGTAGCCTAATTAAAGCGAAACGGTGGACTTCCTAAACAGATGCTACAACGGAGCACCTCCAAATGAAGCGGTCCCTTGCCTCCCCTCCCCTCCTCCCTCTTCCCCCTCGCTTCTCCCTCCTCCCTTCCCTCACAGTCGCTCCCCTCTGACTACAGTGTTCACACACTCTCTCCCCTACCTCACACACACGGACGCCTGGACGCTGCAGCGTTTTTAAGAGAGTGTTTCCAGCCCCGGATAGGAGGGAGGAGGCAGGAGGAAGGAGAGCCTGTCCAAATCCTGACCGTATTAAAAAGAAAAAAACAGACACACAGAAAAAAAAAACTGCTAATCGAATGGATCGGCGATCTGTTTGCGGGCGCTAAAACACGGTCAGAGTGTCATTGCAGACATGGGTCGCAGCGGTACGGCACCTTTCGCACAGCTCCTTGGGGACTGTTTTCACTGTCAGTTCTTCAGCGCTGGAAATGGCGTTGTGATGCTGAGCATGGAAGACGCAGCGGAGGCGGATGCCAGGGAATAAAGAAATATATGATCACCTGTGCTTTTCTTTGGGTTGGATTTTTTGTAGCGGTGGACAGTACCATGGTGAATTACCAGAAATACATTACTGTAATGCAGCTGGCTCTGGGGGTGACCGCCTCCAACAAAGAACATTGTCTTCCACCCAGGAAGCGTATGTGGTGAGTATGAATCTTGGTGCGGATGATGATGGTGATGATGATGCAGGTTGGGGGGGAAAAAGGGGGGGCTGCTATGAGCGCGAGCTGCCGCCTCCCACATCTTCTCAAATGATGAGCGGGTCACGGAGCCACGGTGCGACCGCTCACTCTCTAAAATGACATAATAGGCTATTCCCTTCAGCCACTGCAGCCAGTCTGCACCATGTTGCAACCCTCACAAACCTATAGTGTGGTCGATACACAAGAAGGTAGCCTAACTCCGCATGCTGGGAGTTTGTGTGCGTGCGTGCCAGTGTGCGCGCGAATGTGTGACACCAAGTCCAGTGGCTCTCTGGCTGTATCCTTCCCCCTCTCCATCAGTTTGTAAAGTTGAATGCATAGGGATGATGTCATAGCCTCATCATTGTTTCTTTGCCTCCAACTTCATGTACTCTAATGTACTATGTGGCCTCTACTGCACCGCTGTTGTCCCTGGAAATATCATCTTCAAGCTAACCATGTGGTAAACCATCATCTTTCCTCCTCAAACCCCTTCTCTATTATACCCACCGCTGTCATAACTAATTAATAAAATGTAAAGCATGACACATGATCCTCTCCTGTTTTTATTTCCTGTGCTGCACTCAGGCCTCTGTACACCTCTCATTGCCATATCTATTAAACATTTTCTACCCATACTCTGCTCTCAGCATGTGTTTGTATCTTGTCTCTCCACCCATTCAGTGTCCTCATTACTCTGCCTGTATGCTACAGTATATTGCATTGACCACATCTTACTCTCTGTGTGTGTTTCTCCTCCTGCGGCCTTGTTCATTTGTTTACTTCAAGACAGTCCTACCTCTTTCATTCCTTTTCCTCGCTGTAAGCACATTGCTGCCGAAGCTGCAATGTGTGTGACATAGTATCCCTAATTACAGCCGGATTACCATCTTGTTTGAAAGCAAATCTGGTTAATTAGGAGTCAATAGGCTCAATGGCACTCTGATAGCAAGTGTCTCACACAAACCCGAGATGTATCGCACGGCGTGGATCATTTACCCACATAATGCAGTTACATTGGCATGGCTCCAGTGTGGGACAGGCTTAACTATTATCATTACCTCCTTAAAGCCAACCTGAACCATTTCCTGAAACATTTCTGTGACTGACGTGAGGACAAAACGCTGATGCTGAAAATTTGCGAGCTTCATATTGTCTGGAAAGAGATTATCATGATCAAAGGAGATTTACAGACATTCACACAACCTGAATTTTATAACATGTGAAATCACCTTGAAATGAAAAATAGTATGTGTACAACAGGATGTTTTTACAGTTTGTAGTTATTAATGTGGCATTTTTACTGTATCTTAAATCAAACAGAACATGACGACCATCTCTGAAGTCAAAGTGTTGCTGTAACATCATCAGGGCTCAGACGCTTATCACATGCAGCTTTTTTATTATCTCTTGGTCTCTTTGGATTATCATATTCCTCAGTCATCCTCTTATTAACCTAATAGACCCCCAAAGAAAAGATAAGGAATATCACTGAGACAAAGGACTCTTTTCACTGTTTCTTCAGTTATTGTTGTTTTGATACTTACATCTCCATATTTAAGCACATTTTGGAGGGATCTTATTGTCTCATCTACAGCAGAGCACTGCTACAAAAAGCTAAAATAGTTATGTAACTCTTACAGAAAACTCTGACCTTGTTTAACTGAATATTCTTTCCAACTTGCATTTCCTGCTAGTAAAAAGCAGAATGCTCTTGTGCTATGTTTTCTTCAGCTTTCATTAATCCCCGTACTGTAATTACACTTGAAATGTGTGCTAGTCGTGTTATTTATCCAACTGAATAGCATGTCTTCATTATTTTTTGTCAAAGTCAAATTATTGTTATGAGACAATGCAGAGCAGACTTCTCAAACCATTCTGCAGACTTGGTAGTCACTGTGATGTCACTGTTAATTTTAAGGGGTTTGCTAATTTGTATTGTTGCCAATTCACTAATTCTGTAATATTGTACAGAAGCTATAATAAATGAAAACTAAAGGTTGCCAGGATAGGTGGGGAAATACTAGCTGTAATGTAGAAATGTATTCTGAGACTCTAGGTCATGAAAGCTATTTGTAAATTGTCAACAGTAAAGTAGACCTACAGCACATTATTTATGAAGGAGATAAAACCTGCAAAACTACTGGCATGGTCCTCTAAGTTTAAAAATTAGACCATCACTTCTATAAAAAACAGAAAAGGTATTTTCCTAATAATGAATGACATGCATAAAGGCTTGGAACCTTTGTCAGGCTTATATTCTATTAATTCAATATTATAAGGTACATAACATAGCCTATACAGGGTGGTGATGGCGCATAGATAAGATGCTTGCCTTTGGTTTGGAGACCTGGGTTCAATTCCCACTGTGAGACATCCACAATTGTGTCCCTGAGCAAGACACTTAACCCCTTGTTGCTCCAGATGCGTGCGACCTCTGAGATGTATAGCAATTGTAAGTCGCTTTGGATAAAAGCGTCAGCTAAATGTAATGCAATGCACTATACAGTTTCCAGGATTGATATTCATCATTGTTATTGTGATCATCATCAAAAGTAGTAGTAGTAAAAACAATAGCTGCAGTTTCAAGTATAGTAGTAATAACCATAACAGTATTTGTGGTGATACTATTAAACCTTGTGGCTCAAGCTGCCATATGCAGTTTACAGAACTTGTTGTAAATTTGTGATGCAGTTATTCCATTCCTTTCTCATCCTTCTCGACTGTGTATTAAACAAGAAAATACAACAAAACACACAAGAAGCGTTTACAGATGTTTTTGTCCTGGGAGTCACTTTGGACAAAAGCGTCCACCTAATGAATGTGCTGTAATGTAATGTGACGTAGTGTGCAGTGTCCTCATTTGATATTTTATCAGACATTTCTGTCTAAATAGACCCTGTAAAATAATGCCAGTTTCTGTCCACCTGACTGAAATGCAGCATAGTGACATTGTCAACTAGAAAGCTTAACTTAATCAACAAAATAGATGAGTTTCAGGCTAATGAATCCTGCAGTAAGTTTTCTCAATTCTAATAAACACACATCACATTTATCTATAAGACATGAAGCACAAAAAAAAGATTGTTATAATGATAAACGTGTGGCCCAACCTTATTTTTGTTGTAATTCATATTCTTAAATTACATGGCATTGTTATGAGAAAATATTCTCTCTACCAGTATTTTGGACACAAATGCTCTGATAGTTTAACGTTATCCCAAAAATGATATTGATACCTTTATTAAAGTGGCATTTCAGATCAATACTGCTCTATGCTCATTAACACTGAATGCCCATTCTCAGGAATGTAAAAAACAATCCATTATAAAAACAATCCAGAAACACACTACTGGAGCTGAAACTCTTATTTGAAAATTAATGCATTCATGATCATTGATTAGTCCTTATCAAGTGGAAATTGCAATCATTTTCTAGTTAAAGCTTCTAAAATGTGATGATTAGCTGGTTTTCTCTTGAAATGGTTTTCTCATGAAATTAAAATCTCTTACATATCTGGTAACTAGTGATCACCGCTTATCTTTATTTTTTACATCCTGCAAGGAACAATTAATTGATCAATAAACAATCAATAGATTAATTGACTTTTTAAAATATATTTAGTCACCTACATAAATACAATTGTTATGTTTTTTACATATTTGTCAGCTCTATACACTTCCTGTTAAGGATACTTTAAGTATTTACAGATCATATTTCCGCCCTTCAAACATTATTTAGCAGACAGATGTATGACAGGATGTGACATCACTGAAAGACACACCAGTTTAAACAGAAGAAAAGGCTTCACTGCATTTGAATACAGAAAATAAGTATCCTGTTTTTAAGGTTCTTCTTTATGTAATTGCAGCATTAATTCTGTCCCATTTCTGGTCAAACGGTCAGAGCTGCTTCCTGCTCTGCTGATCTCCCAGCGTGTGGTGGTGAGATTACACACCGCTCTGCCTGAACACTTACACCATCCACCGAGTAGAGGCTGTGAGTGCCATGTGCATCACACATTCTCCCCAAATTAGAGGAGGCACAGCTCCACTGAATAGCAGCAGCAGCAGCAGCTCTCTAAATTAGGATTAGTTTTTGCAAACAGATGTTCCTCTTGCCTGCAGTCTTAAAAACCCATTCCCCCCTGCACACAGCATAAGATTAGCATTAACCTGGCTTAATGAACTTTACACTCTGTTGCAGGCCCGCAGGGATAATACAACAAGTCTATTGTGTTTATGTAATGTTTTGTTATTTTTAAACCTGTATGTTTCCTCCAAAAAAGAAAATGGAAGCAGACGGATAGTGTGGTTACAGCGTAGCAATACTATGTAGTAATAATGATGTTGAATTAGATTGTGTGTCTTTTACAGTGTATGTGTGTCTTTATGTGTTTTATTGCCTGTACACTGGACACTGGTCGGGATTGCTTCCCTTGTTAAGTGCTATAGCAGTGGCCAAGATGGGAGGAATGAAGCGTAACATTGCCTATTGACCTGCTGATTAAGCAGTAACCATTATTGCTTGAACCTCCAGGTGACTGAGAGATGGGGGAACAGCGGGACAGCATAAAGTCCTGCAACTGAAACGTGTTTTTGTGTGCCTCGTCCTTTCTTTGTAATAGCATCATGCATCTGCTTGACCTTACCTTATATGTGACCTACATGGTCACACTCAGTAGTGGGCAGGGAGGGCCATCAAGGGACTTTGGCATTGATCTTATTCCATTTGCTTTTGAAATGGATTTTTCTTTGTTCACAAGATCGCAAAAGGTCCCTGACTCCAAAACAGTCATATCACGGTCAAACAGACGCTCACTGAATTGTGAACTCGCCACACACCTGAAATGGTTGCTAAAATAAAAGAGAAAGTAAAGGATTGAGGCGTCTATTTTGCCCATCACCGATCAGGATAATGTATTATTATATGTCATTACTCAGCTATCTGAAATCAACATGGAAGAAAAATTATAAGATAATCATACACCGCCCTTTCAGTGATATAGTGTATATGGCATATAACTAGCTCAGTCAGTAAGTATTTTGCATTTCAGATTTTATTCTCCACTTGGCTGTGGCTCAGGAGATAGAGCGGTGTGTGAATGTTAGTTTCCGTTTGAGCACTTAGGCTCAGTGTATGGATGTGTGTGAATGCAGATGTAGTGTAAAAGCGCTTTGAGTGGTCAAAGACTAGAAAGGCCCTATACAAATAAGGAGCATTTACATTTACAAATTACATATGATTTGTTCAGTTCGTACAAAAAACAGTACACGGGCGTTACTGCTGAAAATAATTCTTGGGGGCAGTAAAAGCAGTGATGCTTTAGAGGCAACACATCCTCACTCACAATTCGTCATATACCCTTGGTCAAGACCACTTGCCGTCACTTTACAATGCCCTGGGTAGCCCTTTCGCGTTGTTTTTGCACATGTATCCACAGTCAACTTTGTAATAATAAATATGCAACAAAACATAGAGGCAACAATACTACTTGGTTAGGTTGAGGAAAACATTGTGGTTTGGTTTCAAATAACTACATTACCTACTTAAATAACCTAACTTATCTAAAAACAATCAATGTTAAATTTTTGTCTTACAGGGTAAACAAACACCTGTCTCCTTTGTAAAAGTCCAGTTTCTTGCTTGCCCATACACGCCAACTACCACCTTATTCAGAATTTCTGTTGACTTCTGTTATTTATATACTACACCTACTTTTATTGTTTAAAAATGATGCAAAAGGTCTTCCCGCAGTGCGTTGAACTATGACCCTAAAGGGCTTCCCAGTACACTACAAATTGACACCAAGGGGTCTTGGCCATGCGTCCATATGTGACGACTTGGGAGTGAGAATGGGTTGTTGAAGGTGCTGGTATGAAGGCTTTGCTACCTTTCAGAGCCAGGCCAGCTGTTTCCCCCTGTTTCTAATCAAATCTAATCTCATCGTACCCTTCATGTCTGTACATGAACAGATGTAGTTTCATATTTAGCGTACAGACATGCAAGTGGTATACATCTGCTCATCTAACTCTCGGCAAGAAAGCTAATAAGCACATTTCCCAAAATGTAAAAGTAGAAAGGTAAATCGTTTGACTTTTAATAACTATGGCAATTTTAGGCTAATCAAGGGTCAAATGCCTAAAGTATCCTTAGTTTAAAATGTACAATTTAAAATGTATGATTATGATAAAGTAAAAAGTAGATGGTGCAGTTTTATATATTGTCTCAGACCTCAAGTGAAACACATTATAAGCTACCTGCATATTTGATAGAGAAGAAGAATTCATCACACAAGCGATGTGAAATCATTCACCACACATAATATCTGAGTCGGCACAGTTGCTGGCACTATGTTGCATTCTGCCTTTGTGGCCTGAAGTGTTTTGGCTGAAATCCATTTCAGAATCAACATCCAAGAAATGAGCCTACGAATGCACAGGGCTGCACCGGGCCTGTGATACAGTCCAAGCAGCTTTTCTCATTAGTCATGTTTGCTCTATTGTTTATGAGAACAACCTGAGGTCGCTTGTAATTGACTGCACATATTGCAGAATGCCGTTACGTTTCCAGCCAGTAAGCACCTTACACCGCTTCAGGCAACTATTGAATTAATGCAAAGAGAAAGTGGAAGGTGATGTTCTCTTTCCTCCCATCTTTGCTCGTTCTAGTCTCTCCTAATTTCCCATACTGAGTTTACAAACCTCGGGAGCTCCTCTGGGCTTGCTGCTGAGCACGTTAATGGACATCTACTTCCCCTGAGTAAACAGGATTTTTCCTCATCGAATATTGTGTTAGGTAAATCCTCATTAAGAGCAACTGTCCTACATGTCACTGAGAGAAAGGACCAAAGAGAAGAAGAGGACGCAGTGACAATAGTACCAATTTGAGCTGAAACTCAAACACTGTGTTCTATGAGCTCTGTACATTCATAGGAAGCATCTTCTGTGCTTAATTAAGCCAGAAGGAAGTGGGTGACAGCAAAATTCAGTGCTGTCGTTTGGTCTACAAAATGTCAGAATATAAAGAAAAATGCCCAAGGTATCATTTTCATATTGCTTGTTAAGTCTTTTGTTCAGCCGTCCAAAACATTATGTTTACACTGATAAAACGTACAGGAATGCAGATAATCCTTAACAACTCACAAGCTAATACCAATACATTTTTATTGTTCATCATACATCATAAATCATACATCATTTATTGCTTATAAGTTGTAACTAATGCCTGCATTTGTGGTTAATAACTCATTTATTAACACTTTTTAAATCAGTGATAAGCCATCAAGAATAAATTTTGTGTTACCAGCTGGTGTTTCCTCCAGCAGGACACTTATTTTGTCTTTTAAAATAGTTCTTTAATTAGCTAATGGATGACTTGCCTTCTGGAAAAATGTACAAATATTTAGACCAAAATCAATTGATTATCTTCTTATTAACATTTATAGCTCTAGAGTTGATGACTCCTTAGAAAGTGTGAACTCAACACGCCGCCAGAGAGATATTTCACAACCTAGTAGTGTAAAAGTTATTCTCTTAACATTCCAACGGTCATCATATGATACACCTTGAAAGATAAAATCCCCGTGATTCGACCAATGCATTTCAAGATACAATCACCACAGCGGGTACAATCGGCGCTTCTGTCAGACCAGCCTGGACAACACATTTGACGCGACTCACCTATGAAGCCTCATAGTAACTAACCACCGATCGATTATATTCCAACAAAAATGGTCTTGTTAGTTGTCAAAGGTTCAGATGATCCAATCCAGTAAAATCCCCAGGGACTGCTGCGGTATCGTTTCATATTTGCCGGCAGAGGTGGCGCGTGTGTCATTATAACCATAATAACTCCGATTTGAATGTAAACAACTACGATAGCTAGTATTCAAATTAGCCGCTAAACTCTAACCTTTCGAGTGACACCAAATCCGACCCAATACGAGCTCACACGTCCCTTTGACAGCCTTCAACAGCCAACGAAAGCCCGCGCTGTAAGGAAGGGCCAGCCCCTATTTTTTCGTGGGTAGGACGAGCCAATTGAAAGCAATTGTCTCGATGACTGGCACTTCGTATAGTCAATAAAATTCTGAAAATAACGATATCCAGCTTTAAGTAGGAAGTTCATGATCTACCAGCAAAAAAAGCACATCTGCGTCAAGCTTTTTTCATGGTATTGGTATGAAATTTAAACTTGGGCTAGGTAAGGCTTTATGCTGTGGTCCTACAGTGTTTTCCAGCTAATAAGTCCCAGCTATAGTTGTCTGCATGCATTTGTTAGCAAGCATTTTCAAGCAGAAATGAAAAATATATTAGTTTTAGTGTGTTTAAACTTATATCATATATCATTTCCAGTAGAACTTAGAATCATTCTGAGTTATTTCTGGGTTAGACACAGTTATCTTTCAGAGAAGCCCAAAACCCTGCATATACTCCAAATGGTTCAAGAACTACATTCAATTTACGGCGTTTTGAATGTTAAGAGGTTAAGAAAGGCTTTTAACTGCAAAAATTGACTTATTGACCATTAATAAAGCCATTGGTCACAAGGGTACCTTATTGTTGCCAATGTAATATGTACGCTTAACATATAGGAGTTAGAAGTAGCTGGTCTGAAAAGGTAACCCACTAGATTGATAAACTAAATTCAGTTCAGTTCAGCTTTATTCATCCCTATGGGGACAATTATTTTTGTGGCAAACACAGCACATTACACAGCAATTAAGCAAGGAACATACTAACACAAAAGAAATGAGAGGCGGAGTGTGTAAATGTGGTCAGCAGGGTTCCAACGGTGCTGATCAAGTATGTCATTTGTGAAGGGTGAAACATTTCCTGAGAGTATTGGTGATGGGTCAGCCAAGTGTGCCTCCTCCCCACATCTCACCATGACCCAGCTACAGTTTGGCTGCTGTGGCCCACAGAGCTGCACAGGCCCTCTGTGTTTGAAGCTGCAGTGTTTCCTGAGCTTGAACCAGATCCCCTACAGGCCCTCTGTGACATTAAATCCAATTATAGATTTCTTTAAATGCCAACGGGAGACTGTGGCCTTTTGAAGAGCAGAAACGTGACCACTGTGTTCTTCCTCCTCGTCTTTCCTGTGGCACTTTGTCCTGCTGTGATACAACCATGCTGGATGTGTACTTACTTGCCCTGATGTGGTGCTGTTGTTTTTCTTTGTCCCCCTTCCCCGGCTCCCTCTGTGCTGACCCTCAGGATACATCCCAGCCCGACCGCTGGCTCCATCACAGCAGCCTCCTCAGTGAGCACCATTCAGGGCAAACCATCACTCCGCCGCATCAAGGGCCGCATTCACAGAAGCAAGAGTCTGGACAGCATTGATCTCCTTGACTCCAATGTAAGTAAACTGACTGAAAGGCCATAGTATGCAAAAAGTTTTCAGTTGTAAAGGAATCTTGTAGGAATTATGCAGGTATTGTACAGGACAATGAAAAGCCTGTGTCTGCCTCTGTATGTGACTGATATGTGAAAGAAACTACAGACATTGCATTGTTTAAATGTCTAAAAATGTATTCAACCATTCACCACATCAAACACAAAAAAGTTACACAAAGCAAGTTAGGATTCTCTTGTCTTCTGGTAAAAACACAAAAGACACAATAACAAAACATAATCACTGCAGACCACTTTTAGAAGAGATGCTACATATTTGGGATTGGCACCTGGGGCTCTTTGCAAAAATTGCAAGCACTGCTCACACACAGATCGCAAACGGTGGCAGAGTAACATTTCAGAATTGATTGCAAATTGAAGATCATTTAACAAGTCCTTCAGGGCTGTTGCATTCTCATGCATGGGCTATAAGTATGGACTTTGTGACATATGTAAGTCACGTGTAAAAATTAAAGGAATAAGAAAATAATGTTGATAATTGCAGCTTGCATGTTGCAAATTTGGTGAAGCAGACCCTCGACTCAGATTTACAGTTTATATCAGTGTCTCTGGAGCAGTCATGAAATGGTCTTATTGCACCATAGTCTAAAAATATCATCTACACTTGCATTATAGGAACTTGTTCCTGTGTCAGGTCAATATATTCTCTTGATTAAAGGAATTGATTGACATTTTGTGAAATACATTTGACACTTAACACTGTTTTTTGTTCAGGCCAATCAAATGAGATTTAATGTACAAATGTGTGAATTTTAGGGGTGCAGGACGGCGGATTACCTTTGGACAGTGCCAGGATAGCTGTTTCCCCCTGTTTCCAGTCTTTGTGGTTAGGGTTAGGGTTAGGTAAGTTAACCAGGTGATGGCTGTAGCTTCATTCTGGCCACACAAACAGAGAGTGGTATCAATCATTTCATAAAACTCAATAAAGGGAAAAAGTTTCCCAAAATGTCAAACCATTACTTTAATGTGTAACACAAATGTGTTTACTTCCGCATTTAACCCTAAAAGGAAATCCTGAATTTCACCACTAGCAGAGTTTGATATTTAATCTCCTTTAATTTTGACCATTTACAATCTGTTCTAAGATGAAAAAAGGTAAGGAGGCAGATGAAGTTTTGCATTCATCGGCAGCCATGAATAACAATTGATTTCCACACTTAATAATATTATGTCAAATGATACCTGTTCAAATTAACCATATTAGTTTCTAAGAAGAAATTTGTCTTGAGCGTCATTTTATTCATACATATTTTATCCATCCTCACATTCAGAGAACAAGGTTCTCAACTGTTAAATGCTTCAAAATGTTCTAAATGCTGGAGGTGAAACTCCTTCTTGTATTTATAGTCACACTAAACTATCATGAAATACCCTTTGCTGAGTGTTTTTAGATACCAAATGCATATTCGTTCACTAAGTAGTGTTTTAAATTCAGGACTCTGGTGTGCATACATCAAAGCAGAGGCAGTTGTAATGCACACACATGTACCGTGTAGTTTCCAGACAGAGCAGTAGACTGCTGGAGGGCCTCAGCCTCGGGGGAATTATATCGTGTTGACAGCTCGGGCATGATCTGACTATGAATTCAGCTCAAACACTCCCATCTCCTTAAAAGATAGTACAAAACCATTGAGCCGGTTGAATTATTGATATGGGTGCTGGCATGCAATTGTAACATAGGCATTTTGAGAACATGAGAATTTTAAATGCCTCTAAGATACATTTATCTTTAACTCATGCATAAATAAAGCCTCTCAGCTTAGTTGTGCTGTGTGTCACAGTCAGAGAGCTTTGAGCCACTGTCTGATACATGCCCATTTATTAACGAGACTACAGACATGCTTGCGGCTCTGTGAGGCTGCACGCTAACATGCTCACAATGACAGTGCTGACAGGCTGATGTTGAGCAATTGTAGTGTTTACAATGTTAACGTTTGGACTTTATGATGGATGCTAGATGAAAAGTCAGAGGATCACCAAAATGATTAGAGTTCATGTTGAGGGTGTCATCAATGTCTGAACATGAGTTCACGGCAATCCATGTTTTCAAGACATTTCACTCAAAACCATACATGTCAACCACTTACATGAAGAAAAGTTAGGGAATAACAAAAATCTTTCAGATTTATCCTCTGAGCAACATGTATGACTGTATTAAAGTCCATGGCAACACATCTTCTAGTTGGTGAGATACAGTATTTCATTAAAAAGGCAAACACGTCAACCTGCTGGTGGTGATAGATAATTCTCACCAGAGTAATTACAGCAGGATTCATCCTCTGGAGACCATTAAGTCTGTAAAAAATTTCATGGCAAACCCTTCCAACAGATGTGTCCAACATTTCCATCCCTAAAGCTGTGCAACTCGCATGACTAAAAACTGTGAAAATATTACAGCTCAGAGAATTTGGCCACTCTTATCTTCTCGGTCAAAAAATGAATTGTCATGACTGACTGAACAAAAGACCTACATTTCAAAAGTAATTACAAAATCACCATTCAGTTCCCATCTAGTAAACCTTATAGTGATACGCTGGAGGTGGGTGCTTTTAGGCTGTGATTGACAGATTAGTGGTGGCCTTGATTTTGAGCCATACACAGCAATCATAAGCCTTCATCTGAATGGAAAAGGCAGTGTGGCGTTGCTGTATTCTCATATCCTCTCCTGCTCTGTAAGTCACAGAGAGTGACTGACCACATCGCTGTCATTTGTCTTTATGTCCTGCCACTCAGAGGACGCTTACACCGGCTCATGAGGCCACTATCTCACCAGAGACTGAGAGCTGTGCTAAGGGTTCCTGGCCTTTCCACGGTATATTTCTTTTGTACAGGCTGTGTGTGCACTAGAGGAAAACTTGCTGACTTGCCCAAACTCAAATGCAGCTGATGGAAGTAACGGTCCGCCTTACAGTGAGTGATGAGACTGCAGGATGCTGAGCTGAAAAGCAGTTTCCATTGCATCCTACTAAAATCTCACAACAGACACAACACTGCCTCTGAGCTGTTGGATGATCTGCAGTCGCTGTCTGACACAAAATCTCACCTGATTGGCTGTTTCAACAGAAAACTGAACATATTAATCAACTGAGTGTATGAATTTAGGTCCATAACTATCAATGCCCATTAGCGTAGCTATATAATCAATAGTAGTTAAGACTTTGTTTATATCGATTGCTTCTTTTGATTGCTTTTCTCTCTTGATAGTCAGGGGAGGACTTTGGCCCCTGGCCCACTCTCGCTGTCATTTGTGTTGGCAAGCATCGCACTTGTTCACAGAAAGCTTGAATCAGATTTTAGTGCTAAGGCTGCAGAAAGCACAACAGAGATGGGGGGGGGGGGGGGTAAACCACAGACTTTTATGCACCCGATGCCTTTGTGTATAGCATGACTTATTTTTCTGTGTTCATCAACAACACCTCATCCAATTTCAAAGCAGCAGCGTTTACAGTATTTCTTAATGCTTTAGGGAGATGCATTAGTCCATCTGTTCTAGTATTACACAAAGTCTTATTAATTTTATTATTTACACCCATAATCTCTTGTATCCAACCACTTTGTGACCTGTATTTGTTTTTCTAAAAAAGACAACCTCATGGATGAATGATAAGAAATAGTAAGGGGTCACCTTTTCCAGAAGAGATGGTGGCTATGCGTGTTTTATATGATGATTCTAAATATGCAGCTTATTCTTATGTGCATGATATTTCATCAGGACAACGGGAAATCCTATTTTACACACAACAAAACCTGCACTGTATCCCTGGTGCAGTGTGGATGCTAAACTGAGGTTGCTGTTTCTGTTTCATGTGCCTTGATTTTGGGAAATATGTTGTTTTTAATGCTGTATTTTTCCTGCCCTCTCAGCTGTTTTGGGAAATATTAAAGGAATGTTTGCTGCAGAGGCAATAACCAGGTGAGTTGCAGAGAGTGTATCAGCAGGAGCAGATTCAACAAGGCCAAGATGAAAAGCGCAATTAAATTAATTACTCCTTAACAGACCAGGATCAGTCACCAACTGGGCCTTGAGCTTTGCCTTGGTCAAAGTCTTAATCTCTTATTAGTTCTGCTTGCCCCATTCCACCTCCAAAATCCCATCCTTGGCTGCAGTCTGTCGTGGATACAGGCACTCCCATCCCAACCACCACCACCAAAAAAAACCCAAAAAACAGCGTAAGCATTTATTCGCTGCTCAGTCTTCAGAAAGTGCTGCAGATGCATTTACGGAGAGAGCAACTGCAGCTGAATTAACCAATCTGCATATTCAGGGCCTGTTAGAGGGAGATTGTTCCCATGTGATGAAGGTATGGAGGTCCACAGAGGACCGAACCTGAGTGAGATGCACCACAAGGGCTGTGGAAAGAAACAGAGGGAGGGAGGACCAGAGCGTGGAGGGTGGGCAGAGGAGATTTATCACGACTAACACTGTAGGAGGCCTTATTGGAAGGACAAGAGGGTGGAAGAGGGGAAGCACTGTGACTGGGTCAGCAGCGGATTTTCTCTAGGTGAGACAGGTCTCTTATGTAACAACAGAGTTGAATGGATGCATTTTTCTTGTCCAGTAGGTGATAGGCACTGGGGGATAGTTGGAGATGATGGAGATGGTTTGTTATGTGACACTGAGGCAGAGTTAGCCATGTGAGATGCGTGTGAAGGTTGCGTGTGTGGTCCCACAGGCTGCGTGGAGGGCATGGCAGATGTTGAGTGTGTTTCTGGAGGCTGTGACTCAGGAGCAAGGCCTGCCTCTGTGTCCTCTCATGGGACATATGGCAGGTCACTGTAGGCACTCTGCACTGTGTGCATCTAGTACCATCATGTCACACATCTTGTAGCAATATGTTGACTTCACAGCCTCTGCAGCAGTGATTTGTAACATTTTTACAGCTTGATTTTGAAATTACAGCTTTGTACACAGAAAATATTTTGAACTGGATAATTAATGATGTT